CACTTATATATCTATAATTTGAGGGCCTTGTTAGTTTATATAACTCAGTTTTATACTCTACTTTGTATGTTCTTATATATGGGATGTAGATTGGCATTGTCATAAACACTTGTCCAACACTCTGTGGAATTCTAATCTTGGTCTGGGGAGAACTTTTTACTGTTAAAGAGATTATGGGTTTTATTCCCAGCACCACATACTGCTTTACAACAATCTGTAACTCGAGTTTCAAAGATCAGCTACCCTCTTCTGACCTCCATTGTCTCCAGTAATGTACATGGTACACATATACACATTTGTTAAAACTTTAATATGAATAAAAATTTTCAGAAGAATCTTACACTTGGATCTCCTTGTGTCCTGTTGAGTGTTATAGGAAGTTGGTAGACTGGTTTAAATCCTTCAGATACCATGCTTCAGAGATAAATTTCAAGTACGTTGCTTTAGAGCTAAAACTGTCACTGTCTTGCAAGTACTGGAGTTATTTTCTTAGTATGCAACAAGCATAGTTTTTCAAATGACTCCAGAAAGTCTTTTTAATTTCTTGGATGATTAAAATTATGTGACAGCCTCCAATAATACTGGCCAGATTCTGGGCCCATGTACTCTGGATACTCTGTCCTGTAGGTGCTTGTTTACTTGTACTTCACATTGACATCATATTTTAATAGCCCTCTCTGCTGAGAGCAGGAGGTTCTATAAACACAAACGTGCCAGTGTTTTCTACAGATTTTATAGAATTCACTTCTCATAACTTCATTTTTACTGTATAATTCAGAGATTACATTTTAAAATCTAATTTCCTTTTATTATTTTCTACTGCAATACTTTGGCAAATGTCCCCTTATATAACAAGGTCTTAAGACAGCCCTTTCCACAGTAGCTAATCTGTAATATATTTATTTTGCAAGCCGGTGCTTCCTTTTACAATAAAATAGCCTTTTTATAATTGGTAACTGTGAATTTCTTTTCAAAGTGTAACTAAACAGTTTGATTTAGGAGCCATGAAGTTATTTGGGTTCCTCAACAATCTTGTCCTTAAGTAGGAAATTTTAATGTAATAAGTGAATTTTTTATCCAAATATTTTATCTAAGCATGGATATGCTGCTATAGTGACTAAAATGGCCCCATATACAACTTTCTTAACACTTATTTATAGGAAAAATGTTTAATATTGTTGACTCATTTCTTACATGGATTTGGCATTCATGTAATTTTTAACTATTCTATTGTCATTTTGACTGTAAATATATTTTGGTCAATATAATTAATGTTTTAAAAATAGAAACAAAATAATGTGGTGTCTGAAGTTACTCATTTGCCCTTTGTACCACTTCTTACTCACAAAGTGCTGAGCTAGTGTTTCAGTAAACCATGAGTAGTTTACCTTTGCCTTCCAAATGTAGAGCCACTGACCTTTTATAGTAATGTCATGAATACTGTGTTTACCCTCATCTTATGCAGCCTTACTTACTGTGTCAGTGATTTTCCAGTATTTTATAAAATCATTCATTTTGACAAAACAAACTAGAGAAAACAAACATTCAAAGGATCATCTTGTCTAGTGAGCTTATACAAGAGCATACCAACATCTATGTTTGAAATTCTGATGTCAGGGGGATAACTCCACTCCTTCTCTGCTTCAATGTCTCAAATTGAAGTGTGACTGTTCTCCATCTTAGTACTTACTTTTGCCCATTCCTTGAAGCTAATTAATTTATTAAAACCAGGTTGTCAGTTTAACACATTCAGAATAAAATAATAACTCTTGAAATTATTAACAGTCATTGGAATTATTAATACCAATCCAATCCAAGTTTTGATTGAATTTAAAGAAGTTTAAGATTAAAATGACCAGGGGCTTGGGCTGGTAAGAATTAGAGGCAGCTGATTAACTTTTCCCTTTATTCAGCAATCAGACATCCATCCATATGGTAAATTCAGGAGGAAATGTTTTTGTAGGAAAGCTAGAGAAGTATGAAAGTCACAGTTCTGTAGGATCAACAGACATAACAAGGCAATGCACTTTGTATATAGTTTTAGACAATTTTCTAGATAACTAGATTCAATAACTATTAAAACCAACCAGGAAATACTGAGTTATAAATGCAGCACATATTTTGTTAGATAAATACTGTTTTCTTCAAAAGCATTATTCTTCTCTGAACTCTTTATTTGAAATTTTCTATTTTATTAGTTGGTAAATGCTTACTGAAAGAATTGTTCTGGTGATTTTCTTAATTTTATTCATCTGCAAATTTAAAGCAGGAATTTGTTAATATGAACACGGTGGTTTTTTTATTTATAAGTTAATGCATTTAAAAAATATCTGGCAAATGTTTAGAAAAATCTTTGGTATTAGGTGTCAATTCAAAGAGTGTCCATGCATAAAATAGACTTTCTTATTACCATTCTTGAAGTTTTTAGATGGTCTGGGGAAAAATATATATTCTACTATTCTACTGTTAATGAATCTCCATTTTAAATTATGAAGTAATGAAAAATACTTAAAACATGTCTAATATTTTGGCAGTCATTATGAAGTATGATTAAATATTCAGCAATTTTAAATATTTATATATTTATAGTGTTAGATAAAAATTTGTTGAAATGCTGTGTAAGGTTATGTTAAAATGGTAAGATTGGGGCCTTTTTCTTCTCAATTCAGATTTTTACATAGTGTACTTTAATGTTGAGGGTAATCATGTTTTGTTTTTGTTTTTTAATGCATTGTAGAAAGGTAAGTTTAAATGCAGAGAAGGATTGGGTACTTCAAAGTGTTTGAAAGGCATTTACTAAATACAAGCATATTATATACCCAAAAGTCTGTAGTTTCTTTAGTATTTTATTATTTATTACAGCATAAGAGGCAGCTCAAACACAAAGTGTCAAGGTGCTAGGCAGTTTTAAAAGTTAATATCAAATATAAAATAGGTTAATTGGTACATTTTTATCGTCTTCTTCAAACTCTCATTCTCTCAAATTACATATTAAAACAAAAACAAGTCTGCAAGTATTGAGTTCATGTCTGCCATTTTAAATTGTTTTTTTCCTTAGCATTTAGAAATAGTTCTAGAACAAAATGAAGCTTGATAAGTATTTGTTCAATCAGAAATAAAAAACAGATGACAGAGAGATGTAATTAACTCCCAATTATGTATACACAGGATATTTCCGGTGTAAATTACTTGTGTTCCTTCACCATCTCTTCTAGTTTAGAATATAAAATTAAAGGAATATGAAATACAGTATAATGATTAAAGATGCCTTAAACCACCAGACAGAATATAACAACAAAGAGCTGAGCAATATGAGCTTCGTTTAAGTATTAGTGTGGCCTTAATTCAGAAGACGAATGTACTGGCTTTTCTGAGCAGTATGAGTATAATAAGTGAGGCCTAACGGAGACAGACACATCCTATCAATCCCAGGCTTTTTTATACAGATGCACCCTTGACTTCCCAGATCTACCCTTGACTACACAGATGTACCGTTACTACACAGATATACCCTTGACTTCCCAGATGTATCATTGACTACACAGATGTATCCTTGACTATACAGATGTACCCTTGACTTCCCAGATCTACCCTTGCCTACACAGATGTACCCTTGACTTCCCAGATTGCCTTGCACACGTTTGAATGACTTGATCAGCTCGTTACTGAACTTCTTACAGTATTGTGGTTTTCATTCTTTGATTATTGTACAATATATCTACTGAACCATAACACATACTTGTGTTTGAGAATTCCAGCTGTCTTAGAATACAAACCACTACAGGACACCTGTAACTTACCATATTCAAAGTGTATTGACTTGCTAGGTAAATAGTTTCATTTCAACCAGAGCAGTAGACTCATTGTTTCTTTTTATCATTTCGCTGTGATTCTGTATAAATCCTTCTTAGACTTTCTGAGTCATTGTACTTGCATTTATCCTGCAGTGTCATTTTGGGAGGTCTTTTTTTTTTTTCTTGCTGAATCCTTCCATCCTTCTTTTGTGTTTAATGGAATATTTCCTACTTCTTCTTGAAACCATAGGCATTCTTAAAAGATCCTTCATTGAAGGTGGAACTTCACTCTAGCTCTAGATCTCTCTGTAAATTTAGACTGAAACTGCTCCCTCTAGACACACCTGAATTGTTGAGCAGATTTGTTTTACAATTCTTACCATTCATTCATTCATTCATTCAGCCAGCCAGCCAGCCAGCCAGCCAGCCTTCTGCAGTACATAGCCATATCATTGTCATGTTTTCATCAAGTCTCTTCCTTCCATTTGTTCTGCTAGGGTCTCCCAAGCTTTGTCATTTCCCCAGAACTTCCAGCATCTCATTCATGATTACTTCTTAATATTCTCACACTTCCATTTCTTCTCCTTCTTCTTTTCTCTCCTTCTCCATACCCTCCCTGTCCTTTGCTCTCTGCTCCACCATTTTCTTCACTTATTGGTTTTTTTTTAATGCCATTCAACAATTTCTTATTCACCACCTCTTACACCTGAATACTCTGCTTCGTGCTTAAAAAGGGGGTCAGTCCTTCTATTTTCCTGTATTTATGGTATAAAAATATCAGTCTTAAACATGTATAATTTAAACTTTTCTTATTTTTGCATATAATCATGTAGAAAGGATATTTTTGTCCATTTGCTATTCCAAATGATTTATTTTGCTGATAGCCTTGCAAAATTTACAATTAATATGTTTTTAATAAAATGAAAATGTCTTCATAAAAATTTTACTAATAATTATGCTAGCTTTTGTTGGATATGTGACTTTTATAAGCATTATTTTTAATAGCCTTCACAAAATGCTCATGTGGAAGCAAAGGCACAAAGTTGTTGAAAGTCATTTATATACCATGACAAGAGTATTTGTTTGGTCTTTTATTTTAAATGTTTTGAGTTCTTTACTTACTCCTTTTTGTAAGTATATTACATTTATATTTTAAATCCTTTCTCTTTCTCTCCTGAGCATTAACCTAATGTTTCTCTTGCGTAGGTGTGCTTGTGATCGACCCTTTGGAATTGGTTAACCTACCAGGGTTGTCCGTGGAGGAGACTGATTCACCTTCCCCCTGGAGCCATTAACTGCCTATAAACTCTTCATTGATGAGTTAGTACTTTTGAAGTTTCTCCTATCCTTCTTGGAACATCATGTGGTGTTGTCATCATGGAAGTCTTTTTTTTGGTAACCATATTGTTGAAATTTCATGGATGCAGCATTCCTATCTTGTAGAAGACACTATCTAGCAGGAGGAATCCTAGCCTCTGGCTCTTTCAGTATTTCCACCCCTTGTTTTGTGATGTTCTCCAAGCTTTAGATGTAGGATTTTTTTGTAAATGAACCAATTGTGGATAGTGATCCCAAGGTGACTTTTCTCTGCATATTGACCAGTTGTGGATTTTCTAGCAGCTTTTGTTTACAAAAAAAAAAATGTGTACCTTATTTTTGAGGGATGAGAGCTGCAGTTATCTGTGATGTAAGACTAACTATTTGGAATGCAGTTAAGAATTATACTGGTTTAGGCAGTACTGTAGGCTCTCGCCTAGGATCTGTGATATCTTCACTAGCCAGTAGTAGTTGGATAGGTTTAATGTTTAAGGCATTAGTAGCTTCCTATTGAACAGATTTTAAGTCCAGTTAGACAGCTGGTGGTCACCTCTATAAAAGTGTCAATATTACGCCATTGTGCTATCTTGTCAGGTTGGTCGTTGTAGTTTATAGACTTTACAGCTAGTAGAGGTATTGACTGCTTTTCTGTCTTGGTAGCTTACATAGCATCATTCTATACAATGGCAGCTAATCTTCAAGGAAGAGTTGCAAGTCAGTTCCATCCTGACTCCTGTAAGGCTTGAGTCCATATTATATACTCTTCAGTATTAAGATCTTACTTTCAAGTTCAGAGAGGTAACAAGGGCAATGCCATTTGGCTATATTATATTGAGAGTCTTCATGTCCCCACCTCCCAACCTGTCTCAGTAACAATGGAGGGGCTCTATGACTGGAACCAGGGGTTTGCTCCAGTTGCTCTGAAGTCGATGGTTCTTGTGGGCAGAACTATCAACCCATGTAGCATAATTCCATTTAAACTACATAGACACACACACACACACACACAAAACACACACACACACCACCCACCACCTCCACCACCACCACCACCACCACCACCAGCACATGTATTTTAAACTAACCTTACACAAATAATATTTTTTCTGTCTTTTTCAAATGTCTACTGTGTTATAAATGTGTCTTTCCTTGCTCTCCTTAATCCCCTCTCCCCAATTAGAGCCCCCCCTCTCCATTTTATCTCTTTCCTTGTTCATAGTATACATGTCCTAATATTCTCTTGAGCTCTTTCTCCTCCTATTTTACTTGACTGATTTCTGAGGATATGAACACACACACACACACACACACACACAGAGAGAGAGAGAGAGAGAGAGAGAGAGAGAGAGAGAGAGAGAGAGAGAGAGAGCTTCTGTTTGTCTTTCTGGGTCTGGGTCAAGTTTTATAGTATATATTCTTCTAACAATCCATGAGCATAGGAGGTCTTTCCATCTTCTACTGTCTTCCTTAATACTTTCTTAAAAATTTCAAGTTTTCATAGTAGAGATGTTTTATCTCCTTAGATTTTCTCCTAGGTTGATTTTTTAAAATAGTGAATGGGAGATTTTCCATGATCTCTTTCTCAGCATATTTATTGTTGCTGTATAGGAAGGCTACTGAATTTTGTATCTTACCACTCTCCTAAATGTGTTAATCACTTCTAGAAATTTTCAGATAAAATCTTTGAGATCTCTCATGAATAATGTAGCATTTGCAATAGGGGATAATTTGACTTCCTATTTTCCTATTTGTATCCCTTTAATTTCCTTCTTTCTCTAGTCTTGTTGCTCTAACTAGTCCTTCTAAAATTTTATTGAAAAAGACTAGGTATATTAGACACCCCTGTTTTATTTGTGATTTTAATAGGATTGCTTCAAATTTCTCTACATTTACATGAGGTTGGCTATATCTTTGCCATATATAGCATTTATTATGTTGAAGTATGTTCCCTCCAGTCCAAATCTTTCTAGGTCTTTTATCAGGAAAGTATGTTGGATTTTGTCAAAGGCCTTTTCTGAATCTATTGAAATGATTGTATGATTTTTGCATTTAAGTCAAGTTATATGGTTCATCATATTTAATTACTTACATATGTTAAACCATCTCTACATCATCAAGATAAAGCAAACTTGATTGTGGTGGGTAATTTTTATATAAACCTGCATTTTATTTGTAAATATTTTATTGAGGTTTTTTGTTCTGTGTTGGTTAAAGATAGTGACCCATAGTTTTCGTTGTCCTTGTCACTTCTCCTGGTTTTGATATTAGAGTAATACTGACTTTGTAAAATGAGTTTGGGAGGGCTCCATCTGTTTCACTTTTATTAAAAAACCCAAGTTATAGTTGTGGTTCTTTGAAAGTCTGGTAGAAGTCTACTGTGAATTGATCTGGACTTGTGCTTTTGTTGTTGGAAGACTTCTAATTACTCTTTCAATTTATTTGTTATAGGTTTCTTTACATTATTGATCTGTTCATGGTTTTGAAGAATCTGGAAATCCATCTATTTCATTTGCCAGCTTAATAGAATATATGTTTTTAAATTATTGCTAAATACTTTTAATTTTTTCTTCATTTTTTTTTTGTGTATCTGGTGTAATGTTCCCCTGTTCATCTTTAATTTCATCAATTTGAGTGAAAATCCTTGGTCAGACTCAGCAAGGGAGTGCATGAATGTGGCTCCTGCCTGGGCCTAGACCAAGAGTGCTCATGAATGCAGCTCCTCTCTGGACTGGAGGAGGAGTTTGAATGGCCAGCCTGGAGTGAGAGTCTTAAGTCAGACTAGGAATCTTTGTACATATATGTATGTATGTATATATATATATGTATGTATGTATGTATGTATGTATATATATATATATATATGTAAAAAACCTGACTTGTGAATTATTGAGAAACATTTGATTATGTGATAGAAAACTTTTATGAAAAGTATTGTTTTTGTGATAGCATTTATTACTTAATTTTTTACTGCGTGTATGTATGGTATGTGTGGGAATACATGTGCCACACCCTTGGTATAGAGATCAGTGAAAAACTTTCTGTTATTGTTTCATTGTATCTCAGAAAGTGCCTTTAGCAGGTGCACCATCTGTTCTGCCTTTCCTGATTGGGGATCAGTATATATGGCTTCTTTGCTATTTTTTAAATTAATATGTATCTGTGATAAGATGAGATGTATCTGTGGTTTCAGCCCAAGAACGTTACATATTTTTCAATGTTACAGAATTTTATGCCACTCATACTTTACATGGCAGGCTTTCCCACTATAGACAAAGATTACATGAAAAGTTTGAAAAACCTAGTGTAGAAATACCATAAAATATCTACTTAAGCAGTAGATATCTACTGAAGATAGTATCATGTTATATGTTATATATCAGTTGCACTTGAGACCAAGATCTTGTATTATCATTAATGTTAGACAGAACACTTAACTTTTCTCTGATTCTGTTCTCTTGTAAGGATGCCACCAACCTCTTTTGAAATGTCAAATTAGAAGACTCAGGTAGTTGTTGGGTCCATACAATTCTGCCACAGTAAAATTAAAATGTTGCAAAAGCAAATATATACAAATAGCATGGTAACATGGGAGTAATAAGGGAAAGCAGTTATGATATATCTGAGCAGTAGCTACTCTAATATACAGTCTCATATAAAATATACTTTTCATAGTGTTTCCGTGTTTATTGATTTCTAAGTCATTGTTTTTATGTACATTTCAATATTTTTATTTGGATCTTTTCGTGAAAGTGTTTATTAACATCTTTTCATATTTCATAGGTTCTGACTGTTTCATGGTTAAGTTATTATGTAAAATATATGACTATTGTATACTTTTTTAAGTGAGAAGTTTATTTGAAAGGGAATGGAGAGGGCAGGAAAGAAGAGAAAGGGAGTACAGAGATTAAGAGAGAAAAGAGAGAAGAGAGAAGCAGGGAAACTCTTGTCTGCCTCTTCAGACAAACAGCGGGAAAGAGATGATTACTGTATACTTTTAAGAATCACTCAAACTTGGGGCAGCAGAGGTAGGTTCAGTTTCTAGTACTCACTTGGTGGCTCATAATAATATATTACTAGTTCCAGGTGATCCAATGTCATCTTCTGATCTCTGCTGGCACCAGGCATACATGTGGTCAGTCAAATCACTCATACACATAAAACAAATGAATAAATCTGAAAGTAAAATAGCTACCCATATTTATATTTTTAACTTTTCATAATTGCAAAAATTATATCACTGTGATATTTTGGGGAAACAGTTATTATTTTAAAACAAGGTATCTTTGCTATTTATAAAGTAGTTTACCATTTACTTTTACTGACAGTTCTATGGGAATTCTGACCATGTTTATATGGAAACCAATTTTAAAGTAAAACCATCTCCCATATCACATCTTGGCCCTCAAACATAAGTATATCTGCATAGCCTCACTTGACTGTTAAGGTTTTTTGCCAGTTCAGTCAATAAGCATAAGCATTTCTGTAAGCTGAGAAAATAGCTAACATCACAGCAGATTTAATTGTTTTGACTTCCTATCCAGCCCAACATGGATTCTCAGCCATGCTTCTGTCTCAGCACCCCACAAGGGCAGACAGTTCTCTTTGCCCTGTGGAGATGGTGTTGTTCTCTCTTTCCTAGTTACAATATTATTTTCATTCCATTCTTCTTCAGAGCTTCCCCATCTAAGTATTTTCCCATTTCATGACATTAGTACTTCCGGTATCTGTTGGAGGTTATCTGAGCCTGTATTTTTTCTTCATTCGTTACTTATATTTGATTTTGAATCACTTGTTTAACTTTCCTCTGGCTCACTATCTTCCATTCCTAAAGAAGAATGGAAAAATAGTTGTTTTTACTGCTAATGAGAGAAAAAATGTAATTCAAAAATATATGCTATGTTATTAAAACTACTAAGAAACTAAGGCAGGGGACTGGAGAGATAGCTTAGCAGTTAAGAGTACTGTCTTCTCTTCCAGAGGACCAGATTCAATTCCCAGTACTC